AAAATAGTATCTGTTCCTATACTCCTTCTCAAGACATAGCTCATCTCTAAATGAGAACAGAAGACTCAAATCTTTTTTTCTTTTTCCTGCTAACTGACAAATGCTTTACCTTCAAACAATTTGTATAAATTTGAACAACTCAAATTATGGCTTTCTGAATTTATTTTCATAAAGGTAAAACTTAGAGCAATTTGTTGCCCTGGTGGTACTGTAGAATAAGCTCTTGACTGCTCACCACAAGGTTGACAGTTCAAATCCACCAGTAGCTCTGCAGGATATCAATGAGGCTGTCTGCTCCCATAAAGATTTACAACCTTTGAAACCCTATAGATTCACTGTGAGTCAATCAACTTGATGGCAGTGAGATTTAGTTATTAGGAGCTTGTTTTCAATGCATAAGCCCTTTAAATGAAATATTCTAGATTAAAGATTCATTATACATTTAAATGCTTAAAGTCATACTCCAGCTCTGCCCCTCTCTTAAATTGTTTTATTTGCAGAAATCCTGGGAATAAATAACGAATATTTGACCATTCTGAAGTATTGTCATTGTTGGTAAATGCCCTTGAGTTGATGCCGACTCATAGAGACCCAGTATAGGGTTTCCGACGATTAGCTGGTAAGTTTGAACTGTGGACCTTGTAGTTCAAACGGACCTTGCAGCCCAGTGTTTATCCTACAATGCCACACCAGGATTCCATTCTGAAGTCCATTCTGAAGCACTGGACTATAAAAGCATTCTAAATCTTCCATAAATTTTAATAAAAATATCCATTATTGAATGGCAGACCATTTCCATATGTATCTAATATGGTGGTGGTGGTGGTTAAGTGCCGTGGAGTCAGTTCCGACTCATAGTGACCCTGCACAGGGTTTCCGAATCTGTAAATCTTCACCGGAGCAGAAAGCCTCATCGGTCTCCCGCGGAACAGCTGGTAGTTTCGAACTGCTGACCCTGAGTTTGGCAGCCCGACTCGTAACCACTATGCTACCGGGTTCTGACCCATAGCAACCCTGTTTGGTTTTCCAAGGAACTGCTGGTGAGCTTGAACCACCGACCTTGTGGTTCAAATCGACTTTGCAGTCCAATACATTAGCCACACCAGGAATCCATTTCTTTGTATATGTATATATATAAAGTGAAGTAAACTTTAAAAAATGAAAATCAAAATGCAAGCATGCTGATAATAATTGCCATGTAATCTACATATACCAATCTACTGGACCAAGCCAACCCTCTTCATGAAAGATTGGAATCTCAATATTTCTGAAATGCCTTTTGTTTGTTTTTGTTTTCTTGAACTGACACTGTACCAGGATGATATCCTCATCTGGGTTAGCACACTGTCATGAAAGTCCTTTAACCTAGACCTGCGGCACTCCAAGTGAGACGCATAGGATTTCTTGCGCTGATGGGGATTGATAGATGAGACCATCTACCAGTTTCTGTTTCTGGGTGTCAGGTCGCTAGAGAATAATGTGTCTCAATGATTAATCTCAAACTGTGTACAGAGATATTGTTGTTGTTGTCATTAAGTGCCGTCAAGTCGGTTCAGATTTATAGCGACCCTGTATAGGGTTTCCGAGGCTAACAATGTTTTTGGGAGAGGGAAGCCTTGTCTTTCTCCTGTGGAGCAGGTTATGGGCTCCAACTGTGGAGATAAATTTAATTTTATCTCTCTTCTACACTGCACCCTCAGTATTAACACATGTTTACTTTTCTCCGGTAAGGAGCTTTGGTAGCATAATGGTTACAAATCCGGCTGCTAACCTCAAGGTCGGCAGTTAGAAACTACCAGCTGTTCCTCGGGAGAAAGATGAGACTTTCTACTCCCGTATGGATTTACAACCTCGGAAACCCTGTACAGGGTCACTATGAGTCAAAATCGACTCCATGGCACATTACAACAACAATTGCAGTTTAAATCCACCAGCTACTCCTTGGAAGCACTAGACAGGGTTTCCTATGAGTCGGAACCGACTCAACAGCACTTACCAACAACAGTAACATACTCTATGAAACCCTGGTGTGACGTTGTAGGGTAAGCACTGGAATGGTAGCCACAAGGTCGGCAGTTTAAACCCATCAGTCACTCTTGGAAACCCTATTCGGGGTTGTTATGAGTCGGAGCCAACTTGAAGGCACACAACAATAACAATGTTTTGTTAAGGAGTCCCAGCGGTGCTAACCACAAAGCAGTTCAAAGTCAGCAGTTCAAACCCACCAGTCACTCCACAGGAGAAAGATAAAGCTATCTACTCCTATAAAGAATTAGTCTTGACAACCCCAAGGAGCTGTTCTATGCTGTCTGGTAAGATTGTTAAGAGTCAGAATTATCTCCACAGCAATGGGTTTGGTTTGGCTTTAGTGACACTCTATGAGGCGGAACTCTGGTGCAGCAGTGGTTACTTAGTCTGCTGCTAACAAATAGACCACAGCTGCTGCTCCTCAGGAGAAAGATGTGCTAATGGTCATCTGCTTCCTTAAAGACTAAAGCTTTGGAATCTCTATGGAGACATTCTACTCTGTCCTACATGAAACAGGTCTATTGATTTTTGAGTCACAAATAATCATGACATGCAAGAAGATACTTATCAACTGGGGTCTGAGATCTTTGTCATTTGTTAAGAATTTCCTTGTACATATGACAACAATTAAAATAGAGATGTGTTGTAGAGCTTTAATTAATAAAACTAAAATAGACAGAATGGTTTCTCCATCTAACCCTAACACTCTGATGATGTTTAGCAACCAAGAGCTATCTTTCTGAGCGCTAAAACATCTATTGTGATGATACTGGTAAGATTTAAATACTTCTTGCCATTGAATAGAACCCTACAGATTTCTTGTTTTTCAGCCCAGTATGCTGTTTTTATTTTCATTTTCTTGACACAGCAAATGCTGAAACAATAAACTTCTGCACTGATTTCAAGTGTGTACAGATAAAGATAAAAATCTGTGTCATTATTAACTTTTCATCTAGCATTATATTTATGCTTAATAAGCTTTGATTACAAATCAGATATTTATTGATGGCAATATAAGGTATCAGTTAAAAACACGAGAATTAAAAATATCTGAGTTGATTTGAAATCTAGTCCATTACTCACTAACCCCATGATCTTTGGCAAGTTATTTAATCACTTAATCTTTAAAAAGAATATAATAATAGTATACACATAATAGAATTATAATAATGACCAACTGTATGTTATGTTAAATGCATATTACAATTATGTGAAGTCTTAGCACAGTGATAGGTGTGTATATAGAGAGAAAATGGATAAGAGGACGTAAAACATAGGAATGGGGAAGGACAATGGATTACAGAGTAAAATATAATGGAATTTGGTACCCTGTTTCAAAAATGACTATTTCAGCATCTTTTCTAGAGAGGAGTAAGCAGACAGTATACATTCAAACATGCTTATATTGCCATCAAAACAATGGTTTGGGAGTTGCCATTTCAAGAGGTGGTTTCATTCATTCTGTTGTACATTATCTTAGATTTGGTATAAAGTTATCCGTCTTCACAAGTTTATCTATTTAGAGTAGACTGAATTTTTTTCTTTATCATCAACATTTAGTGGAGTCTCTACCACAGATTAAGTGCTTACGGCAAGTTTGTGGAATTGAAATAACTCCAAATCACTGTCTGGTCACAAAACATATCACTTACTTTGAAAATGGACAAGGTTATCAATGAACTATAAATGAATGTATGTATGTGTTAATTAGTAAAAAGAAAGACAGCTCGATGTAGAACAACCACACACTGTAAAAAAGTTACGGCTCATAGGTGTTTGAAATCTACTTTCAGGTGTAGGTATATTTCAGGTTAGCTCTTTATACAAAGATCTAATATTCATAAAAGATGGTATGTATTAGACTTGTTTTTAGCAAAAACAAGTCACTGCGGACAGTGGCGTCACTGGGGTTGGTGTCACCAGTGTGGTAACTCATAATGTCATTCTTCCTGCCCATGGTTCTCCTCCAGTACCAGACCATACAGAATCTTCAGTAATCTTTGTTATCAATTTTAATCATAGAATAGTGTATGATAAATATTATTGTAAATTGCTTAAATGTGATATTTCTTAGATGATATGAATATTAACAACATAATTGTTTTTTTAAAACCTTTCTACATTGAATCGCAACACTATTAGTTACATTATTAGTAACTGAGTGGTGGTGGTGGTGGTGGTGGTGGTGATGGTGGTTTTCTGTGGAGTCGGTTCCGACTCATAGCAACCCTGTACGAAGCCTTTAAAATTTTTTCTACTTTTCCTTTCATTGCTACTTCATTCTCAAAAGTTATTGATACAGATTCACAAATACTAATACCACAATATTATAACTAAAACAGCAGAAAAATTGGCAAAATCAGTGACGACAAAAACACCAGCAGCAACAAAAATAGCACATGCTTGTAGCACGTGAAGGCAAAATCACATGATTCAAAACGTCATTATAATTGGATAATAATGATAGTTCTGATTGGAGTGCATGAAAAAGCTCAAAAAGTAAATTAATAGAGAGTCTTAGCCTTGTAAGTATACTGATACATGTAAGCTGACTTTATGGGGAAAAAATGTTTTTGTTGCCATAACTAAGTACAGGGATATTTTTATTAAAAATGATAAATTTTTGTGGAAATACTGCATAAATATTATATAGATGGTCTTTATAGACCTGCTCTGACGGTGTCATCTGGTATGGTCTACATCACCTGTGCCCCCCTAGTGACGCCACTGATTGAAGCCCTTCCCACTCTGGCTGGTGATGAGAATTATTACAAGAGTCAGTCTACATTGCTGGACTCATTAAAACTTTCTCATATTCTTTGCTATTTTTACTGAGAGAGGACCATTACTTATGAAAGAGCCATTTTCAAATTCAACTCTGACAGCTTTCTTTTCTCTCTCTTACCCACAGCTAAAATGACATATATTACACTTCATATGATTCATCATACAATGCAGTTGGTTGAAGGAACTTAGGCAGTCAGGTCACACATCTTATTTTCCATTATCATTGGAGTCTGAGAGGAACAAGTCTGAAACTGAGGCATGTAAGAAACAAATGTCTTCTTCACAGAAGTGCCTAAGTTGAAGTTATTTCCTACAAAGTGTGAACAACTGTCCTGAAGAATCCTGATGTCAGTGAATAAACTGTGGGTTGGAAATGGACACAACACTCTGGAATCATCTGTCAGAAGTACATCTCTCTCTCTTTTTTTAAGTGAGGTGACCCCTAGGTAATAGACAGACCTTTCATCATTATTTTCTTCAGGGAAATTGCCCTCCAGTTTCAAAAGTTCATTAAATCCCTCTGAGAATGTCAGATGTGGTGGAATTATATTAGGATGCTGATCTGGTAAGATAAAAAATGCCTGGGTCTCCATCTCCCATGAGCTACTAGACGAAGAATCCTTCAGTTGAGAATTTTTGCTAGAGAAGCACTTGCTGACAGAACTATTTATAAGCCCTTGCTCTTCATCAGTTTCACTTGACCTAGAACTACTGACGAGTATGGCATATTTAACGGAGGGTTGTCTCAGGCTCTCATCATCCTCACAGGTTATCCCGGTGCCTTCAGCCTCAGAGAAGCTAGTACTGTGACACTGGTCACTCATACAAACAGAGCCCATATCAAGATCTGGAGTTGTCAAAAGTACAGAGACCATTGTTGCTGATACCGTCTCATCTTTGTTTTTCCATGCTGAGTCAACACTGATATCTTCTGAAATGGCTTCAGGCTCCAAAAGAAGAGGACCAAATGCCAGTGATTCTGCATGCTTGATAAAAAGATGCTCAAACGTTTCTGGCTAAAAGAAAAGATACATTTTAATGCTCTTTGATACTTTTTTTTTTTTTTTTTGCTTTGCTGCGGCATACATGAAGAAACAGAAGTGTGTAAGTGTATATGGATTTAAAATAAAGGAATAAATCAAGCACAAATTAACCAGATTTGGACAGAAACCGATATATTAAACATCATAATGGAGAGCCAGCATACATTAGTGTTTGAAAGTGGAATGAGACCAGACTTAAATTTCTCATTCTCATGTGAAAGTACACTTTCACTTTTTTCTTATGTAAAATGTGTTCAATACGCACTTTATGACTTTGTGGCATTAAGTAATTATATAGTCTGACAATGGTCAGTTCGTAATAAACAGAAGTTACTGTAATTAAAAGTGCTATCTTTTGAAGAATTCAGAAGATAATAGTAAATTAGGTTCCCCAACTATCTACCCCATTGCCTTTGAGTCAATTCCAACTCATCGAAACCATAGAAACTCTATAGAACAGAGTAGAACTGTCCCATAGGGTTTCCAAGGCTGTAAATCTTTATAGAAGCACATTGCCACATCTTTCTCCTGCTGAGTTGACGGGTAGGCTCAAACTGCCAACCTTTTGACTAGCAGCTTGGTGCTCTTTAAATTAGATTCCTTAAATTAGGCTTTTTAAGTTAGGTTTCTACAACCTGAAAATGTAAGCCCCTTAAAAAAAAAAAAAAAAAGTTGATTAGAATATAATCAAATAAGCAAAACAACACATCAAACATGTCAACAGATAGTTTAAATAACTATCTCATGACATAAGATGTAACCTAAAGGCAAAATAATTGTTACTGGTAACTTATTTGCCTTGCATTATATTGAGAATTTACTTTAGACTATCTGAAAATAAGAATGAATTAAACTTATAGGTTGAAAACAATGATAGTGAGAGAGATGATCATAGACTTGTAGGGTACTATTACAAATAATGTCATATAAAATATATACTATGAGACATGTGAAATGAAGACAACTACACAAGACAAATGCACATCATATGTTTTATAGGAACAATGGATACATCACAACAAAAATGCTTGCAAATAGCACAAATTAAGAATCTATGTGTAAGAAGCTCAACTCATACATTTTAAACACACTGAAAAAACAAATGCAAAATAAAAATATTGGGCATACATTATATTTAAAAATCAACAAACTAAATGCAGCATAGAAACATGTTCAATTTATGTCATATATAAAACTAAATTTTTGAAATTTACATTTTTAAAACTAATACAATAAATTCAGATTTATTGCTTGAGATAATGGCATACTTTCTAATGGCAAATGCATTACATATAAAAATACAATTCATTTTGCATAGTTTCAAACCCTTAAATGAAGTACATTACTGATTTAACCCTAAAAGTATAAACATATAAAAAACTAAATATACTAGTAATGTTGTTGTTAAGTGCTCTTGAGTCAGTTCTGACTCACAGTGACCTTTATATAAGACTTCTGAGGAGTCGCTGGTGGGTTTGAACAGCCAACCTTATGGTTAGCTGTCCAGTGTTTATCCAATAGCACCACACCAGAACTTCATAATAGTAATAGAATAGACTTATATAGATACCAAACTACTGCAGAATAATATGCGTAAATACAACTTTTCCTCACTCTAGGTACATAAAGGATGGAAGGAAAATTGTTCCTGTAACTATTCTCTTTCTGAAGATTTATAATTAGGCTTATGATAGTTGCTAATTTTTTCTCAAAACTTTGATCATATATGTATTGAATTGTCTTAAAATTTATATGACTCTGATCTTTATTTGTAAATAAGATGGCCCAATGAATGAATTACATACTATTGATATGAAAACAAAAAGTACCTTCAAATAGACCCTAGTATGTAGTCAGGCTCACATATGTTCTTCAAATTATGTGTTTGACATACTTTATGCTTTCTAAAACTGTAAATCTGAATTAGTTTGGTTAGAACCAAATGCCTTAAAATCATTAAAATGGAAGATTTCACTAATAATTACTAAGAAACCATATACCCACACATGATTTGAAATATAATTTATCAATGGGTCGTAAGATTTTATTAAATGTATGCTCATTTAGAAAACAACTTCAATCACCATCTACATCTCGTTTTCTTGAGAATTTAGAACAGCCTTAATACATATTAAATATATATTCAGCTGATAGGAATTAAAGAATAGATTCATATTTTCACACTTTGATTTAATAGCCAAAGAAGGCAAAAAAGGGCATGTTTTTCAGCTTTTGGTTTTTGTTGTTGTTTTATGTATTCAAATAAAACTATGAATAAAAGCTAAGTAAAAGTGTTTCAAATATATCCTAAATTTGACTATTACTGGAGTTTATCCAACAGAAGTTTTGGTTTGGTTTGGTTTGAATATGAGAACTGCATTACTCAGAGTAAACTGAATTCATAGAACATGTAGGTGGTCCTTTTTTTTTTTTCTTCCCAGAGTGAAAAATCCTATCCTCACCATGAACAAATTCTAAAAGCTCCAAACTTCCTTACTTCACTGTTCAATCTCCTGTCTGCCAGAAGTTTTGGGTGGTTCCATGGAAATAAACGAGGTTTAGGCAAGGATTTCACAAGGAGACTGGGTTTGAAGCTGTCCTTGCCAGATCTGGTCAATCTGATCCGGGTATATAGGGTCATGCTGGTAAGAACTGTAACTTTTACTGGCCTATGACCAGCACAAACCACAATTCTGGCTTTCTTTGAACTGAAATGGAAGTTAGTACATATGCCATTTTCAAAGCTAATGAAAGTTGAAATTCTCAAATTAACCAAAGGTAAATACAGATAAAAGCTACAAAACATTCAAAAGAACACAGAAATGGATTAATTTTAGTAGCTAAACAGAATGTAAGATAGAAAAACTTGGGACATAAAAATAGATATCAAACACACCCACTGAATTCTGGTGCTAAATATCATTGTATGAAGTTACGTGTCAACAGTTATAGTTTGGGGGTTCCCTTTTTAGGAGGAGTCATAGCATTGCTTACTATATATCTGATAATATCTAACAGACATGTGATGATAGCAATAGTCATAAGTATTTAAAATATTTTATGAGGAGAAAAATTATAAATTTCAAGTCACAAAATGAATATTACTTTTTAAGATTTAAGTGACCTGAAAATTCATCATACATCCAAATTATACTGAACTCAGACCTACATCTTGACTCAAAATGTACACATGTATTTTTAGTTCCAAATCAACATAATCCCATTATATTTTAATTCTTAATAGATCAATCAAAACTTTTTTTTTTAAGATTTGATCCCCTTCTTCAAAACATAAAAATCTTCTAATGCTCTATAGTTGGGAAGTTGGTACATTGAGTTCATCTGTAGGGATCATGAATAGACTTCAAAGAATGTCCGTTCTCTGTTTAGATAAAATAAAACAAAGTAAGAAAGCAAAATATTCTTCAAAAATCACTCAGAAAGCAAAAGACAAAAGATTCCAAAACCATTTTCTGTTACAGTTCTTTGCATTGTATTATAGTAAATAATTTTTATGGAAAGGGTAAAATTTTGCATGAACGTTGTCACTCTCGGTTTCTTAATAGATGCCTTTACAACTAAGGCATTTGCTGTAAGGATAGTCTTAATTACTGGAGGTGAGAAGGGGCTATAGAGGAATAACAGATTAAGTAAAAGCAGAGAAGGATAAAAAGCTGGAAAATAAAATGGAGGGAAAAACAAAAGCAGTGTTAGAGGGTTTGGGACAAGAAAGCATAGAAGAGTGGAGCAGTGAAAAAATAAAAAGTACAGGGAAAGAAGAGATAAAATCATGAAGAACAACAGAACCACAGACTCATTATCATGGATTCTTTGTTAATCCAAAAATATCTAACAAATAATTGGGTCTAGTTCTCCTCTATTTTCAACAATGCAAATGAGATCCACTGAAATTATTTGCAAAGATTACACAACTAATTGGAACAAAGTGAGGACCCAAACTTAAGTCTTCTCTTTCTGGTTCATTAATATTTCTATACTATAATGTAAGATGAAAAAGTATCTCCAACAAAAGTCTACAATGAAGACATGCTCATTGTTTTACTTTTTCTACACACAGTGATAGAGATGAGCTGATTACCTCACATATGCACTCTTTGTTTCCTGGTTACCCAAAGACATACATATAAATACTAAGGAAAACATGAAAATAAACTGAAGGTATATTTTAGAAGAGTAAAATATAGACTTGTGAGTCCAATAATTTGCATTAAAGGACACAAAAGAACCAACTAACTGTGTGCTCTTCCATACTATTGTATGGTCATTGTGGCAACTTGAAGGATGAAATTTCAGAGATTTGTGAAGATGGTACTGAGGAAGTTACTGGGTTGTTGAGCTTCTTCTTTGGAGGTCTATTCTACTGTAGGCTGAAGAATCCAGAAAAATCTATAGAACCCAAATAAAAATCTATTTGGCTGTAGCTTTAACACTCTTAAAAAAAAGTAAGTTGCTAAGTAGAGTGTGCTTTTGTGAAAATGAACATAAAATTGTTATGCCTTATAGATAACCAGGCATCAGCTTTAGATCAAAAAAAGAGGAAGAAGAAAGGAAAGAAAAATACGGATGATGATAAAACTATAAAATAAGTAAATAATGAGAAGTTATTATTATTATTATTATTATTAAGTGCCGTGGAGTCGGTTCCGACCCATAGCGACCCTGTACAGGGTTT